TGGAGAGTTGCGCACAGCTGCTAGCTGGGGTCTGTTGTGGAAGACAAGGAGAGTAGCGCACAGCTGCTAGTTAGGTTGTGTTGTGGAGGACACGGAGAGTTGCGCACATCTGCTAGGTGGGATCTGTTGTTGAAGAGAAGGAGAGTTGCGCACAGCTGCCAGTTAGGCTGTGTTTGTGGAGGACATGGAGAGTTGCGCACAACTTCTAGCTGGGAACTGTTGTTGAGGACATGGAGAGTAGCGCACAGGTGTTAGCTGGGATCTGTTGTGGAAGACAAGGAGAGAAGCGCACAGCTGCCAGTTTGGTTGTTTTGTGGAGGACATGGAGAGTAGCGCACACCTGCTAGCTGGGATCTGTTGTGGAGAACATGGAGAGTTGCGCAGAGCTGCTAATTAGGTTGTGTTGGGGATAACATAGAGAGTAGCGCAGAGCTGCTAGGTGGGATCTGTTGTAGAAGACAAAGAGAGTTGCGCACAGCTGTCAGTTAGGTTGTGTTAGGGATGACATTGAGAGTTGCGCACAGCTGCTAGCTGGGCTGTTGGGCGTAGGACGTGGGAGGGGGGGGGGGGGGGGGGAGAGGGGGGGGGGGGGGGTGTAGAGTGGCTAGTTGGGCTGTGTAGAGCAGGATTTGAGGGCAGCACACAGCTTCTATTTTGGCTTTGTCGGGTAGCGCACAGCTGCCAGTTGGGGTGTATGGGGGAGGCCATGGGGAGCAGCGCACAGCCGCTAGCTGGGATGTTTTGAGCAGTACGTGAGGATAGCGCACAGCTCTCAGTTGGGCTGTGTGGCGGAGGACGTGAGTGGGTTTGGGGTTGGGGGGTGATGATTTGAGAACATCATTTTTTTGTTTAGAAGCTCGAATTTTTTTTTCTCCAAAATATGCGGGTGCTCATTCTTTTTATAATATTTAGCGAACTGTATTGTTTGGTCACTTTATTATTGTTTGCAAGAGTGCATATATATTGTCACTATGATACGAGGCATGTAGAATTTATTTTCAGTAAAACGGGGGCTTCATTATTCCCTCATTCACACACGCACGCACGCACGAGAGCTTAGAGGTGAGACCTGCATGCGTGAAGAAGGGTTCCATTGAAGGCTGGGCATCTGGCGAAATATGCCACACAAACATGTCCATTCTTACCGACATAAACTATCAAAGCACCACAGTTGTCGACACTGGAGACATTGAAGGTATACAGCTACTTCTTCCTTCCTGTGCTTTGTGTTCGATGGGGACTCAGTTACAGACAGGATATTTAAATGTCACTCCTTTAACGCATACCTGACGGGCACTGAGTAGACTAGAACAAGCAGACACACACGCACACAAGTTGCTGTATAACTGCTCTAATCTTGAACGCGACGTTAAACCCCAATTCACCTCACCTCACCGGAAAACATACCGATTATTTCTAAAGGGAGGCGGCAAACAGTTTTAGGGTAAGCACAAGACATTTTTTCAGGACGTCCAATGAACTTTTTTTGGTGTAAGACCTGAGGCCAAATTATCGTGTTTAAGTATTTTGGTATGCCACGTGCGGAAACTGACGGGGCACGAGTGTCGACGATCTACTGGTTAAATGGTGGCTTGTTTCTGGTGGTATTGATTATTGTGAGTGATTATCATGTCGTGAAATGACGTTTATGAGGCTTCTAGATTGGCGCTGGGTGAGAGAGAGACCCCCTCTAGTCAAAGAGCGTATAATCACAAACACAGGTGCCCAACGCTGGGGTCCCTCTCAGCACACACAACAAGGAAGTGTAGTTGATCCATCTCAGGGCAGGAGTGACTCGCTTCAGTGTTATGAGGCAGTGTTATGTTGAAGATATAATTCACCTGTGCGAGGCAGTGTGATGTTGAATATATAATTCACCTGTGTGTGGCAGTGTTATGTTAAAAATATAATTCACCAGCTGTGTGTGGCAGTGTTATGTTGAATATATAATTCACCTGTGTGTGGCAGTGTTATGTTGAAGATATAATTCACCTGTGTGTGGCAGTGTTATGTTGAAGATATAATTCACCTGTGTGTGGCAGTGTTATGTTGAAGATATAATTCACCTGTGTGTGGCAGTGTTATGTTGAAGATATAATTCGCCTGTGTGTGGCAGTGTTATGTTGAAGATATAATTCACCTGTGTGTGGCAGTGTTATGTTGAATATATAATTCACCTGTGTGTGGCAGTGTTATGTTGAAGATATAATTCACCTGTGTGTGGCAGTGTTATGTTGAATATATAATTCACCTGTGTGTGGCAGTGTTATGTTGAAGATATAATTCACCTGTGTGTGGCAGTGTTATGTTGAATATATAATTCACCTGTGTGTGGCAGTGTTATGTTGAATATATTGATGTAGTACATCTGTGTGTCGCAGTGTTATGTTGTATATTGCAGTACGCGTGTGTGAAGCAGTGTTATGTTGTATATTGTAGTTCGCCTGTGTGGCACAGGGTTATGTTGTATGTTGTAGTACACCTGTGTGACACAGTGGTATGTTGTATATTGTAGTACACCTGTGTGACACAGTGTTATATTGTATATTGTAGTGTGCCTGTGTGACGCAGTGTTGTATATTGTAGTACACCTGTGTGGCGCAGTGTTATGTTGTATATTGTAGTACACCTGTGTGACACAGTGTTATGTTGTATATTGTAGTACACCTGTTTGACGCAGTGTTATGTTGTATGTTGTAGTACACCTTTTTGACGCAGTGTATGTGACGCAGTGTTATGTTGTATATTGTAGTGGGCCTGTGTGACGCAGTGTTGTATATTGTAGTACACCTGTGTGACATATTGTAATGTTGTATATTGTAGTACACCTGTGTGACACAGTGTTATGTTGTATGCTGCAGTGCGCCTGTGTGTCGCAGTGTTGTATATTGTAGTACACCTGTGTGACATATTGTAATGTTGTATATTGTAGTACACCTGTGTGACGCAGTGTAATGTTATATATTGTAGTACACCTGTGTGACATAGTGTTATGTTGTATGTTGTAGTACACCGGTGTGACACAGTGTTATGTTGTATGTTGTATGTTGTAGTACACCTGTGTGACATAGTGTTATGTTGTATGTTGTAGTACACCGGTGTGACGCAGTGTAATTAAGTATATTGCAGTACGCGTGTGTGATGCAGTGTTATGTTGTATATTGTAGTACACCTGTGTGACATAGTGTTATGTTGTATGTTGTAGTACACCTGGGTGACACAGTGTTATGTTGTATATTGTAGTTTACCGGTGTGACGCAGTGTAATTTAGTATATTGCAGTACGCATGTGTGACGCAGTGTTGTATATTGTAGTACACCTGTGTGACGCAGTGTTATGTTGTATATTGTAGTACACCTGTGTGACGCAGTGTTGTATGTTGTAGTACACCTGTGTGTGGCAGTGTTATGTTGTATATTGTAGTACACCTGTGTGACGCAGTGTTGTATGTTGTAGTACACCTGTGTGGCGCAGTGTTATGTTGTATATTGTTGTACACCTGTGTGACGCAGTGTTATGTTGTATATTGTAGTACACCGGTGTGAAGCAGTGTAATTTAGTATATTGCAGTACGCGTGTGTGATGCAGTGTTATGTTGTAGATTGTAGTACACCTGTATGACACATTGTAATGTTGTATATTGTACTACACCTGTGTGACGCAGCGTAATTTAGTATATTGCAGTACGCGTGTGTGATGCAGTGTTATGTTGTATATTTTAGTACACCTGTTTGACATAGTGTTATGTTGTATGTTGTAGTACACCGGTGTGACGCAGTGTAATTTAGTATATTGCAGTACGCGTGTGTGATGCAGTGTTATGTTGTATATTGTAGTACACCTGTGTGACATAGTGTTATGTTGTAGTACACCTGTGTGACACAGTGTTATGTTGTATATTGTAGTTTACCGGTGTGACGCAGTGTAATTTAGTATATTTCAGTACGCATGTGTGACGCAGTGTTGTACGTTGTAGTGCGCCTGTGTGACATAGTGTTGTATATTGTAGTGGGCCTGTGTGGCGCAGTGTTATGTTGTATATTGTAGTACACCTGTGTGACATAGTGTTATGTTGTAGTACACCTGTGTGTGGCAGTGTTATGTTGTATATTGTAGTACACCTGTGTGACGCAGTGTTATGTTGTATATTGTAGTACACCTGTGTGACGCAGTGTTGTATGTTGTAGTACACCTGTGTGTGGCAGTGTTATGTTGTATATTGTAGTACACCTGTGTGACGCAGTGTTGTATGTTGTAGTACACCTGTGTGACGCAGTGTTATGTTGTATATTGTAGTACACCTGTGTGACGCAGTGTTGTATGTTGTAGTACACCTGTGTGTGGCAGTGTTATGTTGTATATTGTAGTACACCTGTGTGACACAGTGTTATGTTATATATTGTAGTACACCGGTGTGAAGCAGTGTATTTTAGTATATTGCAGTACGCGTGTGTGATGCAGTGTTATGTTGTATATTGTAGTACACCTGTGTGACGCAGTGTTATGTTGTATATTGTAGTACACCTGTGTGACGCAGTGTTATGTTGTATATTGAAATACACCGGTGTGACACAGTGTTATGTTGTATATTGTAGTCAACCTGTGTGACGCAGTGGTATGTTGTATATTGTAGTACACCGGTGTGACGCAGTGTTAGGTTGTATGTTGTAGTGTGCCCGTGTGACGCAGTGTTGTATATTGTAGTACACCAGTGTGACGCAGTGTTGTGTTTTATATTGCAGTACACGTGTGTGACGCAGTGTTATATTGTATATTGTAGTGCGCCTGTGTGACGCAGGGTTGTATATTGTAGTACACCTGTGTGACGCAGTATAATGTTGTATATTGTAGTACGCCTGTGTGATGCAGTGTTTTGTTGTATATTGTAGTTCACCTGTGTGAAACTGTGTTGTATATATAATTCATCTTGTAATTCGCGTATGGAATAATCTTCATGTGTCTTCTAGAGCCTGTCCACCGAATATCGATACACAAACTTAAAAAGAGAACTGTTAGGCAAGAAAAGAAATGGGATGTGTAACAGCCAGTGTTGGTGAGCCAGGGGAAACTCTTCTAGTCACAACAGATGTTAAAACAGACTATAAGTAGGAAACTCCGACCGGTAGTGAATTTCGCCCGCTTTCACAGCCCCGACGAGTTCGTGCAATGGAACAGTGATTGTCGGAAGTCTCCAATACTTCAAGTACCGTCTTTCACACATTCAAGGCAAGAAATTCAGTTCTGTGATTTCTGGAATATTTTCTGCGCCACCTGAAAAGTCATCCAGTAGATAATGTGAGTCAACATACAGGTAAGTGTTTGTTATATGGATCTCTTCATGCTAAAACCACCTGTGATTGCTCTCTGCTGCCCTGCTATAGTAAACTAGTAGAGATCGTCTCACTGTGTGCCGCCACAGGGGTGTGTTCCAGGTTATCAGCACGGTTTCATACCCCGTCGATAGCTATTGTGGTGTCTGTATCCTTGTGTTAATGTAACAACTCAAAGTTTATAGAACTACATTCTGCGCGTTGAGCTATTGTACGATATAGCTGTCGTGAGTTTGTACACCGCAAACCGTTTATATCCAGTTCTAAAGTTTCTAGTTCTACAACGTAAAACAAATTTAATTGTTATAATTGTTTTTGATTCAGCATGGTGTAGATGGCGGAAACATGTGTTGTAGGGATTGTTCTGGTAGTTAGGTTATCAATTACTTGGTTATAGATTCTTGAAGTATTGAAAAGTGTTGGTTATTTGAAAAGTGCAAACCAAGTAAACGTGTAAAATGTCCTTAGCAGTCACCATCCTAAATTAGGCTGAAGAAAGCTGTGCTGTCACAAATGCATTGTTGTCTCTGAGCCGGCCTGGTAATTCTAGTACATTTGCAGTTAAAAGTGAAACCTCATAATCAAGCTTTCTGTAATATTTTAAACGTTGATTTCCTCTATGCATACAAAAAGATCCAGATTGACCTGGTAGACGTCATATTACACGTAACCTCCCGCAACTCGGTAACCCCCCCCCCCCCCCCCCCCCCCCCACCCACCCCATTCAGTGGGAGGGGGTTCAATCGGGGTTATTTGAGTGCGTAATAGCTGCAGTGATTTTCACTACTGACGATTGTGCTATATGGTATCGTAAAAATCTTTTGTGTATGGCATTCTTTTGAGAGCACTAGATTACCTTCGATAGGTGAGACTCAGGCTGCTGGTTACGGACGTAGTTTACACGCCGTGTTACACGCTTAACAAACATCATATGTCTGCTGGTCTGGTTAACGAGACGTGGCTTGATCAACAAGAGTTATGAGTGAGTAGAGAATAACGCCGCTTCCAACAATATCAAGGCAGGGGACAGCAGGGATCTCGGCTGTGCGTAGGAATATAGCGACAAGGATATTTGCTCGGACAATAGGAGGGGGTAACTACACTTCAGGTCTTGGTATTAATGGGAAGGATTGATTACTAAGATAGTGTAATTGATAACCAGTCATGGTATAGTTAGAAACCGTCACAGGTTAGCAGTATTGAATAAGGACGATAGACACGGTTTTAACACGAGAGACAACCAATAGAAACATTACAGGATGCACAAGGAAGATAGTCACACGTCACACCAAGAAATTCTCAGGAGGGACAGTGACACGTCAGATCATGGGATTCACAAAAAGGATAGCCACATGTCACATCGAGGGAATCTCATGAAGGAACTTCACACGTCAAATTAAGGGATTCACAAGAGAAAAGTCACGCGTCCCATCAAGGATTCACAAGAAGGATAGTCACACGTCACACCAAGGGATTCATAAGAAAAATAGTCACGCGTCACATCAAGGATTCACAGGAGGGATTATCACACATCAGAAGAAGGATAGTCACACAAAAGATTCACAAGAAGGATAGTCACGCGTCACATCAAGGATTCACAGGCGGGAGAGTCACATGTCACATTAAGGGGTTCTCCTGAAGGATAGTCACACGTCACTCCAGGGATTCACAGGATAGACAGTCACACGTCACACCAAGGATTCGCATACAGTCACACGTTTCATCAACGATTTAAATGAAGGATAATCACACGTTACATCAAGGGAATCACAAGATAAATTGTCACGTGTCACGTCAAGGATTCGCTTGAATGATTGTCACACGTCACATCTAGGATTCACAGGAGGGATAGTCACACGTCTAATCAAGAGATCCCAATGATGGATAATCACACGTCACATCTAGGATTCACAGGAGGGATAGTCACACGTCTAATCAAAAGATCCTCATGAAGGATAGTCACACGTCACATCTAGGATTCACAGGAGGGATAGTCACACGTCTAATCAAGAGATCCTCATGAAGGATAGTCACACGTCACATCTAGGATTCACAGGAGGGATAGTCACACATCTAATCAAGAGATCCTCATGAAGGATAGTCACACGTCTAATCAAGAGATCCTCATGAAGGATAGTCACACGTCACATCTAGGATTCACAGGAGGGATCGTCACAAGTCTAATCAAGAGATCCCCATGAAAGATAGTCACACGTCATATCTAGGATTCACAGTTGGGATAGTCACAATTCTAATCAAGAGATCCATATGAAGGATAGTCACACGTCACATCTAGAATTCACAGGAGGGATAGTCACACGTCTAATCAAGAGATCCCAAATGAAGGATAGTCACACTTCACATCTAGAATTCACAGGAGGGATATTCACAATCTAATCAAGAGATCCTCATGAAGGATATACACACGTCACATCAAGTATTCACAAGAAGGATTGTCACACGTCACATCAAGTATTCACAAGGAGAATTGTCACACGTCACATTAACTATTCGCAAGAAGGATTGTCACACGTCACATCAAGTATTCACAAGAAGGATTGTCACACGTCACATCAACTATTCACAAGAAGGATTGTCACACGTCACATCAAGTATTCACAAGAAGGATTGTCACACGTCACATCAAGTTTTCACAAGAAGGATTGTCACACGTCACATCAAGTATTCACAAGAAGAATTGTCACACATCACATCAAGTATTCGCAAGAAGGATTGTCACACGTCAGGTCAAGGATTCACAGGATGAACAGTCACACGTCAGGTCAAGGATTCACAGGATGGACAGTCGAACGTCAGGTCAAGGATTCACAGGATGGACAGTCACACGTCAGGTCAAGGGTTCTCAGGATGGACAATCGAACGTCAGGTCAAGGATTCACAGGATGGACAGTCACACGTCAGGTCAAGGGTTCTCAGGATGGACAATCGAAAGTCAGGTCAAGGATTCACAGGATGGACAGTCACACGTCAGGTCAAGGGTTCTCAGGATGGACAGTCATACGTCAGGTCAAGGATTCTCCGGATGGACAGTCACACGTCAGGTCAAGGGTTCTCAGGATGGACAGTCACACGTCAGGTCAAGGATTCACAGGATGGACAGTCACGCGTCAGGTCAAGGGTTCTCAGGATGGACAGTCACACGTCAGGTCAAGGATTCACAGGATGGACAGTCACACGTCAGATCAAGGGTTCACAGGATGGACAGTCACACGTCAGGTCAAGGATTCACAGGATGGACAGTCACACGTCAGGTCAAGGGTTCTCAGGATGGACAGTCACACGTCAGGTCAAGGATTCACAGGATGGACAGTCACACGACAGGTCAAGGGTTCTCAGGATGGACAGTCACACGTCAGGTCAAGGATTCACAGGATGGACAGTCACACATCAGGTCAAGGGTTCTCCGGATGGACAGTCACACGTCAGGTCAAGGATTCACAGGATGGACAGTCACACGTCAGGTCAAGGTTATACAGGATGGACAGTCACACGTCAGGTCAAGGATTCACAGGATGGACAGTCACGCGTCAGGTCAAGGGTTCTCAGGATGGACAGTCACACGTCAGGTCAAGGATTCACAGGATGGACAGTCGAACGTCAGGTCAAGGATTCACAGGATGGACAGTCACACGTCAGGTCAAGGGTTCTCAGGATGGACAGTCACACGTCAGGTCAAGGGTTCTCAGGATGGACAGTCAAACGTCAGGTCAAGGGTTCTCAGGATGGACACTCGAACGTCAGGTCAAGGATTCACAGGTTGGACAGTCACACGTCAGGTCAAGGGTTCTCAGGATGGACAGTCAAGCGTCGATTATACTAGTCGGCTACATATAAGTATGAAACTGGTGGGGAACATGTCTGGCGAAAATGGACGTTTTTGCTGACATATTTACATCTCAGTGAATTCCTAAGCCATTTCGATATTTCTTGACTGTCCAATATGAATTTGCCTATAAAGCGTCATGTCAGCATCGCTTGTTATTGTATTTACTAAGTTGAAACATGCAACTGTAAGCGGAACGAAGCACGTGTTTATTTCAAATTAATCAACGAACCCATCAGTCGGCAGAAGCACACCGTTACTACGCTTCGTTTCATTCAAACATTTTCTTATATTTTGATATTCATGAATTCAGTTTTTGGACCACACGCAAATAATCTGTAATTAATGCTTTACAAATGCAATATATTTCCGTGTCGTGAATTTCTGCATACTGATAATAGACGGTGAAACATGGTTCCAATAGCAAACACTGTTAGTCACAGATGTCTAGTCTTGCCTAATTCTGTTTGGTCTATTAAAACATGCTCTGTACCGGCTTGCTGGGTTGTGTCCTTTCTCGCCGCACGCGCAACTGTCTCCCTGCTACGTCAGTATGGCAGGGCCAAGGTGAAGGATTTTACTACGCTTCATGTTATTCTTTTCGGATAAAATGCAAAACAGGCTTGGCCAAGTCAATGAAAATCACGTACTGTTAAAAGTACTAGAATCTGTAATTTACAAAGAGAATGTAGTCACAAATATAACATTTGTTATGTAAAACTCACGTAGCTGCGTAGTCGTAGCTTTCTTGCCTTCTGTCTTCACTGTATTCTTTATCTGATAGTTGCATCGGACTATATGAGTCGTTGTTACGAACGGCCATCTGAACACGATCGCTGGTCAACACGCCTATCTATGTTTCAACTGATCTGTTAATGTAAGCATACCATGCTACCATAGTCACTGCAATGTTTATCTATGTCTTGTGTTGTTCAGCACATAACGACACGCACTTCAGCATGAAATTCAGCATGAGGTGAGGTGAAATGCGTGCGTGCGTGCGTGCTTGCTTGCGTGTGCGTGCGTGCGTGCGTGCGTGCGTGCGTGCGTGTCTGGTTGCGCGTATCTGCTTTGTACTAGTCCGGACTTATGCCGAATTTATAGTGCTAGCCCACCGAAATACCATTCCGCAATTTA